TTTCTTCAAGACTTTCAAGACTTAGTGATGATGGTGTTTATGATGTTGGTGACGATGACGATGATGTTGTTTACGTTGATGTTGTTGACGGTAATGACGGTGGTAGTAAAAATTGAAAATACATCAACCACGCAGTGAAACTTAATCTCACCATATTGCTGTTTCCCAGGTTAGGAGAAAATACTAAGTTTATCTATTTTGTTTTTCTTCGAGACTTTCGAAAATACAACTGAAGGCAATTTCAACAGCCTTGCCCACATCCTATTGGAATGATCGACCATGACTATGACCTATATTGTAATCCGAACATTACTACAATAAGCCTGAGAAATAGTTCATTAAAGTTCCGCTTTAGGTGGCTTCTCGAGTTTTTTTGCGATCATTTTCTGTGAGTGCAAGTGATCTGATATTCAATTATATTTTCATTCGAATAAACTATGTAAATAAATATATCTCTGTAACGATGATGACTAAATAGTGGTAACCAAAAGCAGAAAAGAACGCTTACGGATAAAACCTTTTCCTCATATCGTCCGATTATTGAAAACCAAAAATTTTAAGTCGAACTTAACTTTAAGTTGGACTTAAATATTATGGAGAGCGATTTGTAGCCTTATAATTAAATATATTACAAGCAAAAAATTCAAGTATTTTAGACTTTTCATCAAGAACATGAAATCTCGCATGATAATAGAAAATATGAATGATTTGAATCAACATGTTATGCCTTTTAAAATAACTTTTACAAAATATTTTCAAGGATGCTAACGGCTTTCCATAATTGTTAAGTCCAACTTAGAGATAAGTTGAACTTATGATCTTTGTGAAACACCCCCTGGTCTTTTTTACTAATATTTCTCATTCATTGATTAAAATATTTTGATATTTAAAAAAATTGTCATTTCCAATTTCGTCTGCACTACTTATTGGTGAAAAAGCAAATTTCATTTAAAGTGTTCCCATAATATTCTCTTACAACTTTGTGTTCCTTAGCAAATTTTGAGTAAGAGATAACTAAATATCTTTAAGGTTTTCGATGAATTTTTTTAATTGACCTACTCCCCCCCCCCCCCCCCGAAGTTTTAGTGTAATCTAGTACTATTTTTCAAATCTAATCCATAGGTAGTTCTTTCAAGTAATGCTAATTTAAAACCATGAATTCTTTCTAGACATTTAAATTCAGTTGAAATTGTGGAAGCCATTTCTGTGATTAATATGTATTTCCATTGAGCCCTGTCTTACTTTCATTTTTTGTTCTATAAAAATTGTTATCATGAATTTGAGTATCAGTCGTTGTAATTTAAAATAGAGAAAATTTACCTGGTATTATTTTTATATCAATAGCTTTAAAAAAATCATATTCATTTCAATGTAAGTTAATAAACTTTATAGACATTGTCCGGTGTGATTTCATTCGCAATATCAGAAGGCATTTTAAAGTGATGTTGTCATCTTTTGTTTTGATATTCACTCTGCATAGGTTCACGTAAATTCAAAGAATATTGTTCTAACCAAACTGATAATACCAATTATTCCAGATTATTTCATACTTTAATATAAAGTAGAGTTCAGATAAAACTTGCTTGTTTTCTTTATGAAGTTTCTTACACATTAGTCACATATATTGTTTCTAAAATATGTAGGCCTATATCAATTTCGCAATTATGTACATCGTCTGTTTAGAGCCACAATAGCATTGATCCACGACCCCTAACAGACGTCATGGTAAACGTGTTCGTTAATATCTTTCGACATTGCGTGTCACGTATTCCATCATGAATAATATGATGTATTAGCCCTGCATTGTAAATAATAAAACATGACCTGGGCTTTTCTTATTTTCTACTTTTTGATCTTCTTTTCTAGGATCTATACAATTGTAAAATACTATTACTTCCTTTGTTTTTGATAACAATGATTGTTAATAAATTGAAACAATCTGCACCTTGCATAATTCATATCAGCAGGATAACTTAAAGGGATAGTTGAGTTCTGTTGCAGAGGGCGCTACGAAAAAATATCTGTTTTGTGAGATAATGAAAAACTGACTGTCAAATTTCAAGAACATATAATTTAAATGACAAAATCATCTTTGTTTGATCAAAATCGGTTCAGAGACGGCTGAAATATACATAAATATAATGATTTCTAATACTTGTGTACCACCACAAATATTAGATAATTTGAACCAGCCGTTGAAAGACGTTGAAAATAACAAAATAGCGCCTTTTACGTTGTATTTCACCCAATGCCAATGTCAGCTTTTTGGACTTTTCGTGTTGGTTATATTACGCACAGTCGGCCGGCCCATGTATTGTTATTATTAATTAATTAATTAACGGTCACCGTATTTTTTTGAAAGTGGAGCTGAATTGGTATGATCGTATTGGCTAAATTTCACAGTTTGGGGTCTAAAATTACCTTCATAGCAATTTGAGGTCCTAAAAGGGCACTAGAAATGTCATAGATAAGAAAGAGCAATAACCATGCACTTTGAAGGCATTTGCGATCCGAAAACAGAACTCAACTATCCCTTTAAACTACACTGTCGCTCATTAAGGTGGAATATTTTAGTTTTACCCCAATTTATGGAATTATTAAAAAAATTATTTAAAAATAATAGATCTAGATAATAGTATACATTCTCAGATTTTATTGAATAGTAATTTGCTAATGTGTGTTTTGCGGGACTAATAAAGCATGTGTATACTACTTTGCTTATTAACTAGGGGACTTACGCCCTCAAGTCATAAATGACAGTAATGAGGATTAATGCCCCACAAAAGGGCACTAATATAGCACATCGACACGGTTTTGATCCTGGGGCTTCACAGTTACGAGGCCATTGTTTTGTCACTGAACCATGACTGTACGCAGCGGGGGCTAGGGTAGGGGGCAGTTTCCATAAATTAAAAAAAAAACAGAAAATGCAATACACTTTCAATGATTTATTGCATTTTACCCCAGTCCCCAACATAAAAAAATCCTCTGGACGGCCATGCATTATGGCTCAAGGCATGGGCACACAGAAGATTTTTTTATGTTGGGAACCGAGGTAAAATGCAATAAATTATTGAAAATTTATTGCATTTTATGGAAACTGCCCCCTACCCTAGCCCCCGCTGCGTACAGTCATGGTTCAGTGACAAAGCAATGGCCTCGTAACTGTGAGGCCCCGGGATCAAAACCGTGGCGATGTGCTATATTATTGCCCTTTTGTGGGGCATTAATCCTCATTACTGTCATTTGTGACTTAAGGACATAGGTCCCCTAGTTGATAAGCATAGTAGCATACATATGCTTTAGCAGTCACGCAAAGCACACATTGGGAAATTATTGTTTAAAAAAATCTGAGAATGTATACTATTATCTAGATCTATTATTTTTAAATAATTTTTAAAATAATTCCATAAATTGGGATTAAAAAAAAAATTCCACCTTTATGAGCGACAGTGTAAATTAAATTAAAGAAGCACGTTCACAAGTGATATCTATATTACACAATTTACTGTAATCGTAGTTGTTCGTTCCCACTATCTTCAAAGACTGTTACAAAATTAGTCATTAGGGGCATATAATAACTCACAAGCGTATAGCTTTCACCGTACGCCCATCCCCTTTTAAAGATGAAGTTGAGTTCTGGTCATGCGATTGCATTTTAAAAGAAACGGTGTGAAATCGACCAGAAAAGGTTGATCATCTAGCATATAAGAATTTGTGTGTATTGCAAGGTTCTGGAATCATCAAAATGATAAGAAATTTGGTCAAGGATTATTAAAGTTACAAACACTGTACACAGAAAGATGTATATGGGACTACACGAACACGTGGCGTAAAAATCCTACCCCCGAGTTTTACGATGAACATGACATATTTAGAATATGAAGGCATTTGAAGAACCATGCTTTTCAGGGAACATGTCTTATCTGATGTTCTTCCACACTGGCATAATAAGAATGATTACGCTCACAAATTTTTTTTCACCTCTTCCCAGAACTCAACCTTCTCTTTAACTTTTTCTTTTTGTTCAGTCTTTTCAATATTCCGCATGCAAATAGATTGTATATATGCCGTACTCACTTTCTGTTCTAGTCTTTGCCATAAGAATTCATGTCTGTTTTAGATAATTCGTTTTGTGTACTGGTAACTATTGTAAAATGTGAACACGTGAATCAATAAACTCAAATTAAAGTAGAATACAGTTCCTTTCCTACTTTGTATTCCAATTTCTTGATTCTATACACATTCATTGCTATTGTAAATTGGCATTTTTACTTTTTGCATGATTTTTTTTTTATATCTCTAAAGCTACATGTTTTACAAGTTAAACATCCGACTCTAAAGATTTTTTAGATAAACAAAATTAATATCATACCTTGATGCATTAGGCCTACGCATAAACAATCGTGTATTCTTCACAAAGCAATTGTTATAACATAGATGGTCTAATAAAAATACCATGCATTTGAAGGCGAGCTGAATTAATCTTCTGGTGGGCCAATGTTTCGCTGCAGGGGGACCTGTGCACACATTAATAAATGGTAATTCACGAAATTCAGTTTCTCCGACTTATGACGCTATACATAGAGAAAGAAACAAACAAATAATAATCTGGATTTATAGAGCGCTTAATGTGAAATGCCGTCTCTAAGCGCTTTGCAGATATTATTACCCCGGTCATTTGATTCATTCACGCACTATGTGCACCATCTCCACTCCCTGCGGAGTATTCCTACCATATGGTCACCGTAAGGGCATATGGCAATGCCTATCACAAAGGCTTTCGTCATCCTACCAGGCCCCCATTTCTCTCCTGTGTATGAGATGAATGGCTTGCCAAAGGACATTAGTGCCGTGTCGGGGATCGAACCCACGACCTTTGGATTTCAAGTCAAGTGCTGATAACAAATAAATAAGATTTAATGTACGTGTTCCACTGGGCTGTTTTGTAAAACGCTGCCCTAATTATTTCTAACTAAAAAGTAAAATGATTTGTTTACCTTCTAGTTTAGCGACTTGGAGGCAGGTCGGTAACCCATGCAGCGCCCTCTTCAGCCAAGTCTGGAGTTCTTTTGAAAACCATCGTATCACATGGCCGAGGCTCTCCGGCAGTGGTTGTAGTAGACCAGGCATTAACACTGTGGATACTGCCTGTAAACACCATGAAAAACACCATGAAAATAAAATTAGTTAACTTAAAGATATTATGTCTCTTTGGCAGCCCAAATCAAATTATGTAGGACTTTGCAGGAATTATGAATATCTCATGTATGTCGACTATCTGTGAATTGAACATTAGCAGTGTCCTAGTATTCAAAGTATGCAAGGACACCCGATCATCTTCTAGATAACATACATAAAATGAGCTGTAAAGGTACATTAGCATTTGTCTACATCAATAACCCACTACTTGTAAACTAATGGCCAAAATTACAGATAAACTTGAGTTCTGGTAATACGATTGCATTGTGAAAGAAAAGGTGTGGAATGGATCAGAAAAGTTGATCATATAGCATGTAAGTAATGGGTGTGTAATGCAAGGTTCTGGAGTCATCAAAATCATCATATATTTGGCAGAGTCTTGGTAAAGTAGCAATCACTTACACAGAAAGATGTATATGGGACAACACACTTGGTGTCGGGGCTATAGTATTACCCTGATTTCCTTATCTTTCTATGCTCATTACTCAGCCAGTATACATTTTCTTCCAAAATTGTTTGGCACATGACATTTATTTGTAATCTTGAACATTCAGTGTAAGTTTCGTTAGATTCTGTGAGAATTCATTTTCTTTTTTTACCAGAACTCAAGTTTATCTTTAAACAGATTGCATTTTTGCGCTGCACAAAACGTACGACCATTCGGTAAAAGGGTCTGAAAATCAGATTATTACTTGGGTGATTGCAATCACTTAAGTCGATTTGACAAATGATGGTTGTTATTTCCCACTTAAAGCCATTTTCAAGCCCTTTCGTTTTGAGGAAGGTTCTAAAGTAGTATTGTTTTTCAATTGCCGTTGGATTTAAAATTTTCTCTTTTTTTTTGGGGGGGGGGAGGGGCTGCAAACGGGACATAGTACCTTTAAAGGGTTCGTTCAGATTTGGCGCGGTAAACCGCAACGAAATAAATGCGTAAATCAATATGCCTAAGACCTATGTTGCACGCAGTTGCCTTCCATTTTGAAAGTTAAAAAAATACAGCGGTTAACCGGATCTCATCTCAACGATTCTTTCAAAGAAAGCAAAAAGAGACGAAATAATATTTTCTATATTAGCAAAACAGTCAAAGGGGGGAATCTGAATGTTAGATGAATAAAACAAAACATGTGCTTTTACCTTGTAAAGAAGAGAATCGCATATTCCAATTAACCGAGCAACTCGATCCGAACCGAGTATCGGTTGAACATGTGCAGGCATTCCGTGCCAGAAATGAAGCAAATAGTGTTGAACTTCATCGAAGTTTGCCCGGATAACCGTATCTAAGATCCGCTGGCAGTGTGTGCGATACATGACTAAGAATGTCGCTACCTGAATGACATTGATGAGAGGGAAAGAGTGAGAGTAACCGAGAGAAAGATAAAGGGAGAGAGAAGGGGAGAGAGTGAGAGTAAACGAGATTGTCTTTCGGATGGTGACGTTAAAGGAAACCAAAACCTTCACACTAAATTACTTTTATTGTAAATTTTAAAAGATTTGAATAAAATCAGTGAAAATTTGAACAAAATCGGGCAAGGAATAAGGAAGTAAGAGCTTTTTGAAATTACTAGTCACTAGAGGGCGGTATTCAATTTGATGACATCATCTGTGAACAACTCTCCATGCCTTTTGTACATAAAATTTCACAATTTTTTTGTTTTCTTCATATTTATTTGTGTTCTTGATCCGACTTCATAACATGTGAAGTAGAATATCATTTTGCATTCTATATCTTGCTTTCGGGGGAGTACATTATCTCAATCACAGGAAAGAAGGAAAAACATGACATTTGATGTACAAAAGGCATGGAGAGTTGTCCACAGATGATGTCATCAAATTGAATACCGCCCTCTAGTGACTAGTCATTTCAAAAAGCTCTTCAAAAAGCTCATCCCTCCATTCACGTAAGATTAACAACTTAAATAACACAGCCTTGAAAGGTAAGAATTTTCACTTATCCTACTAATCTTAATTATGCGCGTTTGAAAATTGAATGGCGTCGATTTCTCTCTCCTCTTTATCTTCGGGGGAAGAGAATTATATGACGGCCGTTGCTGAGAAATACCGGGACGATGTACATGATTTAGGTGAAGGTATATCTTCTGACGGTACTACGGTCCCGGAAGATAGTGACATTGCAGATTGTTCATGGAAAACGGCAGTACGCAAAAAATCGAAAAAGAGGCCAAGGGTTAGAAGCAATAGTGATGGAGTGTTACATGAAAAGAATAACAAAATACCCAAATTCTCCCGCTCGACACCAACTCATTCTGAGGGTAAAGTAGTTATTGTTGGATTGGAGAATAAGAATGTGTGCAGAGCCAACCCCGTGAAGGTTGTAAAACAAATTCATGATCTTGTAGGCAGAGTAAAAGATATGGTAAAAGAAAGAAACATGTTGATTGTGAGATGTGAGAGCGAAAACCAAATACCCAAACTGTTGGAATTAACCCAGTTGGCGGGCATTAATGTGAAAGTTACACGATACGATGGGAGCCAATCAACCACTTAAGGAGTTATTCACAAGATTGATCCCCAAATCAGTAACGAGGAAATAGAGGAAGTTTTGAAAGAACAGAATGTAGTGAACGCTAAAAGATTTATGAAGAAGATCAAAGGAGAAATGGTAGCAACCCCTTCCGTTCTCCTCACTTTCAAGGGTAAAAACTTACCCGAGTCCATACATTTTCTGTACGAGGTAAAGCAAGTGGATGACTATCCCTCCTGTGCCGCGATGCCATAAATGTCAGTTATTCGGACACATTAGGCAAACTTGTAAAGGCAATATCCGATGTGTTAGATGCGGGGGAGAACATGAGTTCGAAGATTGCCCTAATAAGGAGAACCCTAAATGCCTCAGATGTGGTGAAAACCACTCTGCAGCTTACCAAGGTTGTAAATTTTATGCAGAGGCGAAGCAAATTCAAAAAATAAAATTACAGGAAAACCTCACTTATGCCCAAGCGGCCAAGGCCCATCGTGCACAGATACATGAAAATGCCGTTACTGACATGGATAATCAGAAAGACATGGGTAGTGCAAATCTAAACAAACCTGCCAAAAAACATAACACAGAATCAAGGCCAAATAACCCTCAGAGAGCCAATCCGAATCCTCAGAGAGCCAATCAGAACCCTCAGGCCCATACCCCACACACAGTACGAGAAAGAAAGGGACAGGAAGAAAGGGACAGGGCAATACCCAGATCTCATTCCCAGATCCCAATTCCAGTACGAAAAACAAAGAAGGAAACTGCAACCCAAACTCCAGTAAATATGACATCTATTGATTTGATTATGTTTATTCTGTTTGTGGTACGACAGTTGCCTCAGTCCAGTAATGATGATAATTTCTTGGAAGCGGTAGTTAATAGAGCAGGCAAAGAAATTTTGAAGGTAGACATTACCATGGAAATGGTAAAAAGTCGCCTCATATAACTAATAAGTCCATATCAGACCTATTGATTGTACAATGGAACGCACAAGGCTTGACGGCGCATGGCGCAAACTTTTTATCTTCCCTTATTGATAACAATTTGTTAGGTATTCACCCAGATATAATGTGCATCCAAGAAACTTGGTTTAACGATTTTAATGTTTTGTCTATACCCAATTACGTTTGTGTTTGTAAAAACAGGCCGGACGGCAGAAGAGGTGGTTTGGTGATGTATTTAAAAAACGACATCACTTTTCAGGCGATGGATACACCCAGGAACGCAGAATACCAAAAAGTTGATATTTTTTGTAAAAACGGAGTTATCTCAATCTTCAACTATTATAATCCATGTAAAAAGATTGAACTGATAGATCTAAATAACATGATAAGAAATGTGCCGGGGAAGTATTTGATTCTAGGCGACTTTAATAGTCACAATCCTCTATGGGGGAGCAACAAATTAGACACAAACGGTAGAACTGTGGAGTCTTTTATAGAAAATAATGATTTGGTTTTATTAAATGATGGATCTCCTACAAGGTTAGACCCATATTATGGTACATACTCAAATCTGGATTTGTCCTTAGTATCGAAAGAATTAGCACGTAATACAGAGTGGAAAGTACTATCCAATAATTTTGGCAGTGATCATAATCTGGTTTGCTTAAATTTTAAACATGTGTACAATAGACCAGGGGGTGAGAATATGGGACAGAGATGGTCTTTTAGAAAGGTTAATTGGGAAGAGTATAGAGAAGAAATTGAAGAGGCATTGAGAAAAGAAGGATATGAAAATCTTGGTGCAGAACTAAACATTCAAGGCAGATACAATGTGATTGTTAAGGTGATCAAGGAAACGTCGAACAAGTTCATTCCGCGTGTGCAGATTGCCAAGAGAAGAAAAGTAAATCCCTGGTGGAACAATGCCTGCAAGAAGGCGGTGCAAGAGAGAAATCGTCTTAAAAACAGGTTAAGAAGGTATTATGATCTAAATGATGTTAAGAAATACTTAAAGAAGAAAGCTGTCGCTCAGAAGGTAATCAGGAGAGCTCAATATGATTATTGGTTAGAGTACTGCCGTAGAATGAATAGATTTACAGACATTGGGAAAGTCTGGGAACAGGTTAAAAGAATGCGGGACAGTACAATGAACAAGCACATCTTTCACAATCTATTTGTAGACGGAAATATCTTGAAAGAATCTGAGGAAAAAGCAAATGCAATGGCAACCTATTTTAAATCGGTTGATGAATCACTTTCCGTAACTAAAAATGAAAACGAAAATATCTTGTACAATAATTCTTCAACAAATGATGATGATTGTATCAATGATGACTTTAACATGAGTGAAATGGGGAATGTTTTAAAGGAGATGAAAAACTCCTCATCCGGTAAGGATGATATTTATTTAATTATGATTAAGAATTTGCCGAACAAGGCACTCGTGTATTTATTAAACTTGTATAATGACATTTGGAAAATCTCACTTTTTCCACATCAGTGGTATGAGGTTATTCAAATACCAATCTTGAAATCCGGAAAAGATCCGACTCAAGTGACCTCTTATAGGCCGATTTCGTTGATATCAACATTCTCTAAAATTATGGAAAAAATGATAAAAAATCGCCTGACGTGGTTTCTGGAAAAAAACAGACTATTAAATCCTATTCAATCTGGCTTCCGCAAATATAGGAATGTCAAAGATCACTTAGTGAGATTGGAGACGGACATACATATATCCTTGAAAAGTAAAAAATATACCGTAGCGGTCTTTCTTGATTTAGAAAAAGCATATGATTCGCTATGGAAAACAGGTCTACTAAGAAAATTATCTATCTTAGGCATTGGTGGAAAAATGTTACTTTTTATAAAAGCATTTCTATTGAGTAGGATTTCTAATGTGAGGATAAATAACTATATGTCTCGCCACTACACGTTAGAAAATGGAATCCCGCAAGGAAGTTCATTAAGTCCTTTATTATTTACTTTAATGTTAAATGATCTCAAGATAAATGTAAGTGATGTTAAATTATCTTGCTATGCTGATGACATTGCAATCTGGTGTTCAAATAAGGATTTAGAGCTGGCTCGCAGGAAATTACAAGAGGCCCTGCATGAGCTTGAGATATGGTGTTGGACGTGGAAGTTAAACGTTTCCCCTACCAAATCTGCAGTATTAGTCTTTACCAACAAACAAAAGAAAGATATTCTTCTACAAATAAAAGGACATAATCTGCCTATATGCGAGCAGTATAAGTTCCTTGGTGTGAGGTTTGACTCCAATTTAACTTGGTCTGTCCATATAGATTCTATCATTGATAAATATAAGAAAAGAATAAACTTGCTACGTTGTGTCTCCGGCACCCCCTGGGGAAGTAAGTATGAGATTTTGATGATGATTTATAAAGGACTTATCCTATCCATTTTGGACTATGGGAGTGAAATGTATGATTCTGCTTGTATATCTTTAACAAAAAAACTTGACTCTATCCAATACAGAGCCTTAAAAATTATTACAGGCACAATACACAATGTGTCCTTGGAGGCTTTACAAGTTTTGACCGGGGAGCTGCCTCTGAGATATCGTAGAAGGTTGTTAAATGATAACTTTCGAGTTTATTTACTGTCTAGTACTTTAAACCACCCAACAAAAGAAGTATTGGGTGATGACTATGATTTAAATAACTTAGAATGGAAGATAGGAGAAGGACCTTTTAAACTGCGATCCTTTAGAGACGAAGTAGTGGTGGAAGGGCAAACCAACTTATTGCCGAAAATCCCAGAATGGCGGTTAGCACGACCACAAGTTTCTTTCGAACACCATGGCAAAGTGCAAAAAAAGGAAATGCCTCCATTTGAAATAAAATCGATTGTTCTAGATAGCATTGGAAATTCATGGAATGGGTTTTTACATATATATACAGATAGTTCTAAACTCGAGGATGGGAAGACAGGAGCCGCATTTTATGTGTCTCATTATAATGTGGTGAATTTTTTTAGATTATCCCATGTCTGTATTATGAGAGCAGAACTAGTGGCCATACTAATGGCACTAGAGTGGATTAATACATTTATTGAATCCTCTTCGGTGGTAATTTTTAGCGACGCTTTGTCAGCTTTACAAATGATCGATTCATACTTTATTAGATGTGCTATTGTAAATGAAATTTTATCCATAATTAATATTTTGCAGTTTAAGGATGTTTGTGTTGCTTTTGAATGGATTCCGTCACATTGCGATATTAGGGGCAATGAGATCGTAGATCGGGCTGCCAAAAAAGGAGCCATGAAAAGGTGTATAGACATAGTTATACCAAATACAAGAAGTGAATTGGCAGCCTCTCGTTTGATCCATTATAACAAATTATGGCAAGCAGAATGGGACAATGCAGAACACGGTAGATTTTTATATGCTTTGCATAGCGACGTTTCAAAGCCCATACATAGACAAGGCCTATCTCGCAGAGAAGAATGCTTGATACAACAACTAAGAGTAGGTAACTGTAGTTTAAAATTATTACCTTTTTCAAATTAACCAACACGATACTGGTCTTTGTGAAGTTTGTCAAGAAGATGAAACAATTAAACATTTTATTTTCTATTGTACAAAATACGACAAAGATAGACGTCTCTTAAAAGAAAGGATTAAATTGAACAACCCCAATCTGAAACAATTATTGATGTCTAACCCAATTTTTACTCGTGAATTATTGGGTTACATATACGATACTAATCGTTTTAGATAGCTTTTAAAGCTATCAGGGATCCCCTTAACTTATATCGATCCTGTAATAATATATAAAATGAAGTATTTGCGGTTTTTCCATGAACAATTGCAACTAACTCCCATCTCGCCTTTTATGTGCATTTTATGCAATTTTAATATTGCAGCTTGCTTGACTGGCGCAAATAATCTTTGAGATTGAAGAGCGCCATCTAAACGAAGAACCAACCAACCTCTTACTTCCTTATTCCTTGCCCGATTTTGTTCAAATTTTCACTGATATTTTTCAAAAATCTTAAACTTTACAATAAAAGTAACTTAGTATGAAGGTTTTGGTTTCCTTTAAAGGTCGGTCCCCAGACGTAAATAATCATATCTGATTGATACACGTCTGTAAATACCCAATTACACAGAGAAAGATAGAATATAGGGGAGGGAAAGAAAGAGAGAGAGAGAGAGAGAGAGAAAGAGAGTGAGTGAGAGTAAACGAGAGAAAGTTAGAGAGAGAGAGAGGAGGGGAAGAAAGAGAGAAAGAGAGAGAGAGGGAGAGTAAAAGAGAGAAAGTTAGAGAGAGGGGGAATGGAAAGAGAGAGAGAGAGAGGGGAGGGAAAGAAAAAGAAATAGAGAAAGAGAGAGAGAGAGAGAAAGAAATAAGGGAAGGGACAGGGAAGGGGAGGACTCGCCCTTATAAAAGAATCATGGTAACTATGGTTTTTCATATATCACCTTATAACAAGTAAAATGTCAAGAACGTTACAAACCCGTGTTACAAAAGCTATTGTATAGGCCATATCATTTTTTTTATCACGATCGGCTCGCCTATGTTCTCCACATATCATCAAGTTGATATAAGTTGATAAAGAGCTTTAAGTCGACAACTTTTGATTTTCAAAGCTTTACTCCTCTGACAGACACTAAACGAGCTAAAATAAGCTTCCCTTAATTGATATATAAATCATCTATTCCATTTTCCACTTCCGCCAGGGTCTTATTATTAATTCTTTGTTCATCTTCAGAACTCGCGATTCTATTCAAAATTGAATTTTTCTTACTAAATCTTTGCTGACGTCTAATGGGAAGCTCAGTCCTTCTGCCTCGGGGAACTCCGGCAGGAGACAGCCCAGCTTCGTCCTATGCGAATACACCATTGTGTTTCGGTTTGTTTCCTTCTTTATTGGTTCCTGTACGGGGCTGTTCAGTTCAATTCAAATGATTTTATTTCTCATGCAAAACATAATACAAGAATAATTATATCACAACAAATATGCAATGAAACGATAAATATAATGGAAATAGCACGAAAAAAGAGGAACTAATTTGAAGCAGAGCTTGTTGAAGTGTTAGTTCCTCAGATGCTGATTTACAATAAAACATGAACAAAGTATGCTTGGAAATCAATAAATAGAAATTATGTAGTCGATAAAACAATATTTTTGTGTGTGTAATGCCCTAATTTATGGTTTATTAAACCATCAGGCATACATGGAAATTCAAGAGAAATCCTTTTATTTCACAGGATAACATTTGACAATATCATTCTTCCACTCTAACTTGCAAAAAAATAATGAGAAAGATTTTAAATTATGTTTAGTCTTTAATAGAGCTCAACATTCTCTTTAAAATAAGGTCAGGTATTTTTTTTTTTATAGCTGACGATTGATAGTGCAAACGTTATTGAGTTGCATCTACATTGTAGCAACAGTAAACATTTGATAACGTTTTGAAGTTGCTGTCACTTATCTGCCATTTGAAGTGACTACACCATAACTGTTGATTTTTTTCTCTAATAATGATTACATTAATAATAATAATAATGATATCGATTATTTGGGAGCGCTAAAACAAAAACGACCAAAGCGCTTACAAAATTACAGAATGTGAAGAAAAAACATAGACTTATTTTATTATGAAACAAATCATGAAGGACTTTATCAACGAGTGGAATTTGTTTCGTTATCATTTTCTTGATATAGAAAAGGTGTTCTTTGACATTCCCCCTTTTGCGAAAACTGCACAGATCAGTGCATCATTTTATCACAATATGAAATAAGGGTCTATCATTCTAGTATTTCATCTTTATCGTGTTTCAAAGAGAGACCCAAATAGTGGACTACTTCATCAAGGCCCATTCAAAGAGTGGTCTTTTTTCATAGTCATCATTTTCTTGATGTAAAAAAGGTGTTCTTTTGACATTCCCCTTATCTGCACAGATCAGTATTTCATCATTTATCACAATAACTATAAATGAGAAGGGTCTAGTATCAGATCTTTCTTGTGTTATGATGAGAGACGCAAATATTGAACTACTTCATCAAGGCCCATTCAAAGAGTGATTTCCTTTAATAGTGATCATTTTCTTGATATAGAAAAGTTGTTCTTTGACATAAGCACAGATCAGTGCATCATTTTATCACAGTATGTAAGAAGGGACTATCATTCTATTGTCTCATCTTCCACGTGTTTCAAAGAGAGACGCAAACTAATATTGAACTACTTTATCAAGGCCCGTTCAAAGAGCAATTTCCTTTCACAGTGATCATTTTCTTGATATAGAAAAGGTGTTCTTTGGCATACCAATTTTTGCGAAATTAGCACAGATCAGTACATCCTTTTATTACAATATTAAGAAGGGTCTATCATTCTAGTATCTCATCTTCCTCGTGTTTCGATGCGAGAAGCAAATATTGAACTACTTCATCAAAAGAAAGCAATCATATTTAATCGCGTTTTCTAAAATCATCCAATATTTGGAGAGCCCTCCATGACGACATGGTCTGTTTGCATTGACAAGAAAAATATTTGATATCGTCTTTTGTCGTCGTTTCCCGGGTGACGGTGGGAACAAACCCCGGAATGCAGACAATGGCAGGTCAAGTATTAAAGCCTATATCGTCTCCACGGTTACGATAGAAACATGTGAATTCTATTGTCCTTTTCACGTCTAATACAACCCACCGGTCTAAAAACTTAACAGAGAAAAAGACGCAGAATAATTTTTTTTTTAGGCCCGTTCAGTTGTGAAGCGGCAAAACCGTGGCAGTTTTGTTATGATGACGTAAAGTATAATACGCTTTACATGTCTGTATCTTATAACGATTAAAAAGCTCATTAGAAACGCACAAGTTCTTTTTTTACGCAGTTTTGTCATTAATAAGTTTAAATAAATCGGGATTGCTTTTTTACGACGGTTTATCTCTCCATATCTGAACGAGCCTTAACTTCTTTGTGAAATCTGATTTTGAACGAAAGACCTCAATAGACCTTCATCCAATGATGATATTAAAAAATAATTCGCCAATAGCTTATCTTTACTCACGTTAGCCTCGATAAAATAAAATTTCTATTAGAAGTTTTAAACTTTAACAAAAGTTCGTGTATACATACAAATACATATACAAAATATTCGCAAAAAAGAGCTACGTAAGTATTTTAACATTTGGGAGAATGTAAAATAGTACCCCTTCTACATGAAAGTTATCGCTCTTCAAATAAAAAGGAGAACAACTTAAAAGAAAAGAAGAATAACAATGAGAATTTATTTCCCAAATTCACGAACTTTAAAACGTTTGCCCCCCCCCCCCCCCACCTTTCCAATCACATTTTCCCTTTTTACGACAAAATCCTGTATACAAAAAAAAAATCATTATGAGGTAATACCAGCGTGACTTACCCAGACTTCTCCTTCTTAGACAGTGTTGATTCGTAGTACATAGAGGATTCCCGTACCGCTATTCCATAATAATGGTATCTAAAATTTAAAAAACAATACAATCAAGGTCAACCAATACGAATAAAGTAGGCCTACACTGAACGAAAAACTGGAATAACATTCTTGATATATATATATATATATATATATATATATATATATATATATTTTAATAGACAAGGTGGCATTCGTGTCACTCAAAAGTGGGAAAAGGGAGGAATAGATTGAGAGAGGGGTTAGGGAGGGAGCGAGGAGCTGGAAGATTAGATGAAAGGGAAAGATAGAAGAGGAACTAACGGGGAGATAAAAGGAGAAGAAAGAAGAAAGAAGAGAGAAGAGAAAGAGAGTAAGAAAAAGATCAATTGTATTACCATGTTAGAATTCATAACCTTCTGTTCCTCTATCTGTTATTTTCTTAATCTTTCGATAAACTCCTGTCACTTTCTGCGTTATCAAAACAAGTAGTAACACCCATCAATGCTGTCTGTTGTTTTAATGTCTGGGTGAAGTCATTAATAACAATTTCTACCCATATCTCAAGTAAGAGTCTAATCATGTGATATCCATATACTATTTTTCAGGAAATATTTATGCTCCTATTTGTATTTTCGTCTTGAAAAGAAACTGTGCCCCCCCCCCCCCCCAATTGACCTACTGCCTGATTTTTAAATAATCCAGGAATCTTAACTCCTTTTAGATCAACTATTCAACTGTGGATGTAGCATGATTCGGTTAAAAAAATCAACAATCCATCATGTATTTGGAAAGAGAATGTTAGACAGTGATTACGCATGCATAAATGCCTTTCTGCTCTGTGATTGGTCAATTCCTGGAAAATGTATTTATAACTTTTGCATATTCCGAAACTAAATTGAAATCCATCTATCATTCTTTCATCGTATTAGAATTACATCTCTTCGTGGTCCTTTTCAAAAACATTCCCATACATCATCGGCGTTATTTTGACTTCACGAATGTGGACAGTAGTATTCGTTCGTTCAACATAAAGCCGACGATATGTAAAAGAACCAAAAAGTAGCTGAAGTAAGTACATTGAACTTGTTCGTGTACCCCTATTACCACTATCACACGGCATCAATTATCGATAATGGATATGAAATATTTCAGAAGAGAACTCTTTGATTGTTCTTACTTGGATTGTCCCCGTGTTCCAAGACGTCTGGTGGTAATTTGTGGAAACTGCTGTCTGATTACCTACACAGAAACAACATCAGCAATGATAATAATGATAATAGTAATACTACATTTACAATGAAAATGACAGTAATGATGATGATAATAGTAATAGGCCTACTAATAGTAATAATACCAATACTAATAAGAATAATAATCATCATTAACATTATCGTCATAATTAATATTGTCATCATCATCAACATTCATGTGTTATATATGGTCAATACTCCCAAATAGTGTCAAATTCCCCATGAAAACCAATGCCTTATTTGTCTTCAAAGTATTTGCCTGCTATCGACTCAGCTTTCTTGCTCATGATAGTTGGCCTTTGCATTTATCTTGATCATTTGTTTTACTTACCTCCATACTTTCAAGCTTTCAATTATATATATATATATATATATATATGCATTTTTATGTGTGTGTATTTAAGTTGTCACTCTTTATGTAAATCAATTATATTATATACTATTATTGTTATTTGAATGTTTAATATTTGATTTATCAATAAATGCAGAAACATCTGCTAAAAAATAACAACTTACCTTGCCAAAGCTTGCAGCGTTGATTGGAACAATTACAGAACGACAGCAGAAATCCAGATAGTGAACATAGAGTGCGCTTCTTGGGATGCACACCCCCTCAGATAGCATGTAGTTTTCATGTAACCTTTTAATGTTAACACAAGGTTAGGGAACAGGGTAAATCTATCATCTTATGTATTATTGATAAAAATAAGAAGAAAAAATATATTTACACAATAATAAAAGTAATACAAAAATGATAAAAAGTCTCGTTCAGTCCAGAGACTTATCTAGACCACAAATACCGTTCCAATTTCGAGAACCGACTTTATTGTATAGTTCTGACTACATGTAGCGTGCCCTTTCGTCGTTTTGCTATCCTTTAATGTGGATTCGAACCCCATACCTTGCGATTTATAGTCCGGAGACTGAACCACTAGACCACAACACCAGTTGTAATTCTTAGTAGCTATAATTTCATAGTTCTGGCTGCATATATAGCGTGCCTTTTAATCGTTTTGATCTCCTTTAATGTGAGCTCGAACCCCATACCTTGTGATTTGTAGTCCGGAGACTCAACCACTAGACCACAACACCAGATGTAATTCTGATATACTTACCCTTGTATATTCCTTGGTGTAGCTTGCATTTTCATTTTTTTAAATCTCCGTTCATGTGGGTTTGAACCCCGTGCCTTGTGATCTGTAGTCAGGTGACTCAACCACTAGACCACTACACCAGTTGTAATTCTAGATACTTACCATTTTATAGTCCTTGGAGTAGCTTGTCTCTTCGACGTTTTATTTTCCATCTAAAATTCCTTCAGATGTGAAGCTAGTCCTCAACTGGTGCCATGTGTACCGTAGACCCCAAAGCCCAAGTTCCGTCGACTAAAAAACTTTTGCCAGTGGAATTAAAAGGCAGGACTGACAGCAACTGGTGCACTAGTCGATAATGATTCGACGTATGTAAATAGATGCGAGTGAGTGAGTGTGTGTCCATACCAACAGCTAACCTTTTTAAATTGTCTAATGATTTTTTGTTGTTGATTTTTTTTGTTGTTATATTAATGCAAAGAAAGCAAGCACATGATGGTAAGTGAAAAATTAGGGACCAACGACTTTAAGTCCTCTCCGACGGAATTCGAACCGAAGATTACCCACTACACCTATAACAAATTTGATCATAGCCAATCATTTGCCGCAATTCCAGTGGCTGATAACAATTACTGCAATCTTTTATTCATAAAAAGTGCTGTGAAACCGGGGCCATAATTATAATGGTTGTTTGTATATAGTAGTAAGTCAAACATCTCCAGACTGTTTGTAGGGGGAAAAGTAAGGAAGTGATGTTCTTGAGAAAGACGAGTAAATATTTGAAGACACGACTATGAAATTGGTTAATAAGTGTTGCACAGGGGGCGTTTTTCCGATCGCGCGTATGGCAAGCCGTTTTATCATTAAAATATATTTCTTGATATCATGAATTCGAATTCTTGATATCAAGAATTGATTTCTTGATATCAAGAAATATGTTTAAAGGATAAAAATAATTTTACGTTGTGAACCAAAGGTAATTCTTGATATCAAGAATTGAATTCTTGATATCATGATATATGTTTAAATGATAAAACGGCTTGCCATACGCGCGAGTGCCTGTGCTGATTATCAGGGGCCAGTTTCTCGAAACCGTTATAAGTTTAAGTTAATGGACATCCTATGGAAACGCGTGTTTAATTCTATAACACACGTTTCAATGGGATGTCTAATAAGTTAGACTTATGACGGTTTCGTGAAACGGCCCCAGGATACAGAAGGCAGGAATCAAGGTCTGCACCTAAGCAAGGCCCGGTATACACATAACACGTACTGTACGGTGCGTCACTTTCCTGGGACCCGTTTCACAAAGCCTTTTTTCAGTGACAAATCTGCTGATAACCAATCAGAGCCAAGGATTTCAGTAGCTTATAACTAAGACTTGCATTTTTCACTGATGACAAGTTTTGTGAATCAGGAGCTACTGGTGCTGTCTTTGTATGACGCAACAAAGCAATCTAATTATTTAGCAAATGGCAGATACAGAAAATGTACACTGTTTGCCTTTAAGTTGCAACATTTTTTTTCTTTAGACATTACGTATCACTTGCAGCGGATGGTATTATATTCTTTTCCTTTTCTCTCTCTTCTTTTCTTGTCCTTTTCCCTTTAAACCTTCTTTTCTCTTTCATTTCTCCTTTTTAATTCCGCCACCCTCTCTCCCATTTTTGTTTGGGGGGACCAAAAGGGATGATGGGTACCCCCCCCCCCTGGATCCACCACTGAGTGGCGTGGATAAAGGTGCACGACAAAAGCCCCCCCCCCCCCCCATCACACACATACACACACACTCACACGCTCATACATTTATATATATATATATATATCTCTAGACACAAATATTTAACGGAATGATATCATTATACGCGTATATGTATATAAATTATCATTATACCCACACGCTCACCTCGCACACACGTACACACACAAACAATTTTTTGTTCAGATCGATGATATAAAACAATGTTTTATTGATAGATAACTTTATCGTTAAAAATATAATTCTATAATCACTAAATGAATACAAATATTAATAAAGACACATAATATTCGTAGCCTAGCTAATAATTTGCTATATATACATATTTCATACTAAGACACAGAACATTAGAGGCCTACTAGTAATTCGCTATATATACATATTTCAGGCTATAACAATTGCGGGTCACAATGTCAAGAATATCTATACGATCAAATGTTGCACTGTATCAAAATAATTTCGTGTTCAAACTAAATTAAATGGAAAAGAATGTTTTAATTTATTTTGAGACAAATGTGCGAATCAAGATATTTACGGCACAAATTCCCCTTCTACTGTGGAACTATATTATAACAGATCCCTAGAGGTATAGGACACTGCCCCTATATACTAAAACTACCCCTTTATAATAAAACTTTGTATTATCAGGGTCCGACCGAAATCTAGAAATAAAGGAATCAAAAGAGAAACAACTTGGACAGTAAAATTTGCTTGTTATATATGTTATAACAAGAGGTTGTTCTCCATGTCGGGTTCTATTTTATACATACATAATATGATACGTTTTCATAAGTTGCCATAAAGCCGTCTTTGCACAGAGTTTGGCATCTTTGATTCAGTAGGTTACAATATGGCGAATATTATTTTGGTGTGTGCATGCCCAATAAGGCAGTACAGTACTCGCCATATCGCGCTCAACCCAAACATGATCGCCTCAAACGTGCCTAATCAACATGATCAGTGAGTCTGTGTTGACGCCAAGGTTGACGCAGAGCCATCTATACACAGAGTTTGGCCAACCCGGTTCGAGTTGGACACACTTTGGCGACTACTGTTTTGTTGGGCAAGCACAAAACAAAAGAATATACGCCATGTTGTGACCCAGTGAAACCAAGTTGGCAAAACTTTGTGTATAGATGGTTCTGGGATGACATAGTGTCCCTTTACACTAGGTTTACACAGCGTGTGGCGCCCTCTTCGTTTTAAAATCATCTCTGTAGTTGCCACATAACGTAGACTCTCGTGGCAAGCTGTTGGTCGATCAAAGCCCTCTTTATCTGTTATTCCTCTAAACTATTTTAACTCTCGTCTATACAACCTACATTCTTTAAACGATCCCTCCATACGGCTCTTCTCCATTCGATCTTTCGTTTCAGTCCAGGGCATCATTTCACAAAAACTTGTCATCTGTGACAAATGACAGTTTTTGTTTTTTACTATTAGTAAGCTAGTGAAATCCTTGCTTCTGATTGGTAATCAGCACATTTGTCACTGATTTTTGTCATTTGTCATTGAAAAAAGGCTTTGTGAAACGGATCCCAGATCCTCTAAACCAGTTGTAGTAAGTTTTGGTTTAAACAAAACCGACTAGCAAATATCCACAGATATTTAAAACATGGAGACGTCCCACTAATTTGTGAATGTTAGAATAATCACTGCCAAAGTGATGGAGATGCTTCATGACTACCTTTTGTTTGTCCTCTTGAGAAGAATATTTTCACCTGTATATTAGAAAATATGCCGTCAGTGAATATATGAAAATGATTACACAATAATGAGAACGCCAATCCAGTATTCGTCTCGATGGGTTTTTACAATTTTGGATCAAATTAATGTCCGTTATCTGCCCATGTGCAGATTGTATCCACAAACTGGCTTTTTGCTCCATTACGATATATGAGGGTTGCTTAGACAATAATTAAAAAAGAACACTTTACTAACATCAGTTGAGCCAATAGAGGTATTCTCTATGCTCACAATATTCCACATTGTCTCACAAATATGTTTGCTTTCAAAGGTTTCTTGAAGAGATCCACAGATAAAGCAGTTATTCCACAATTTTGCAGAAACTAAAGGGAAAACAATGACTCCTGCAAATTTCTTGGAGAGGGGTAGTCTAGCTCTGGACCCTTTTATTGAATTTTTATTCGCTAACTATAAGTGTTAAGCCAAGTGATGGCGCGATCTTTAGTGACGGCTCGATCTCGAGAACCGGTCCGTAAAAGGTTCTCGGGATCGCGCCGTCACTAAAGATCGCGCCATCATTCGGCTTAACGCTTATAGTCGGCGAATAAAATTCAATAAAAGGGTCAAGAACAAGACTAGGAGAAGGGCGGATTGCACACAAATCGACCAGTCACACAGCTGTAGGAACTCTTCTAGCTCTTGCTGTGAGGGAAATTCTATAATGCTTTTAAAAAAAATGTTATTCGGTCAATGGCGTATCCAGGCTGAAGTTGGTCCTAGGAGGGGCAAAAGGTTTGAACTTAGAGATATAAATACTTATGAAAATGAGGGCTCCTGTTTGAGATACAGCGAAGAGGGTTGAATGACTTACTTGGGGACGAAATTTTAAAATCTTTTTGAGCATTATGTCTATACTTCGTGTGACTTTAAATACAATGATTCACAATCTGCTTTCTACCAGAGAGACTGCTTTCCATTTTCTTGGTCTAAAATATATAAAGAGGGGAAATTATCACCCCCTTGCTCCCTCCTTCAAATATGCTTGTCATGATAGTCACGTGGGCGATTTTGATGATGTCATTGATATCACTAAATGACGTCATTCAACAGAAAGGATGTTCGTTAAAGAGTTTACTAAGCTCTGCGTTCATTGGTAACTTTGATGATGTCATCAAGTATCAATGAGTGACGTCATTCCACATGAATCTCGTATCGTTCAAGAGTCTACTACGCTCTGTGTTCATTGGTGACTTTGATGATGTCATCAAGTATCAATGAGTGACGTCATTCCAAATAAATCTCGTGTCGTTAAAGAGTTAACTAAGCTCTGCGTTCATTGGTGAGATTTCGTGATGTCATCGAGCATCAAAGAGTGACGTCATTCCACATGAATCTCGTATCGTTCAAGAGTTTACTAAGCTCAGCGTTCATTGGTAACTGTGATGATGTCATCGAGCATAATTGGGTGAGGTCATTCCACATGAATCTCGTATCGTTCAAGAATTAACTAGACTATGCGTTCATTGGTGAGATGTAGTGATGTCATCGAATATCAATAAGTGACGTTATTCCACATAAATCTCGTGTCGTTAAAGAGTTAACTAAGCTCTGCGTTCATTGGTAACTTTGATGATGTCATCAAGTATCAATGAATGACGTCAATCCAAATAAATCTCGTGTCGTTAAAGAGTTAACTAAGCTCTGCGTTCATTGGTAACTTTGATGATGTCATTGAGCATCAATGAGTGACGTCATTCCACATGAATCTCGTATCGTTCAAGAGTTTACTAAGCTCTGCGTTCATTGGTGAGATTTCGTGATATCATCGAGCATCAATGAGTGACGTCATTCCACATAAATCTCGTATCGTTCAAGAGTTAACTAAACTCTGCGTTCATTGGTGAGATTTCGTGATGTCATCGAGTATCAATGAGTGACGTCATTCCACATGAATCTCGTATATCGTTCAAGAGTTAACTAAGCTCTGCGTTCATTGGTGAGATTTCGTGATGTCATCGAGCATCAATGAGCGACGTCATTCCACAGAAATCTCGTGTCGTTCAAGAGTCTACTAAGCTCTGCATTCATCGGTGCGTAGAAGTTATTCAATAACGTTCTTGTTTCGTCCAGCATGTCTCCCATGTGCTTCTTCATTTGTGTGTTGACGCGTATCCTCTCCCCGCTGCAGATGAACGCTAACTCTGTCCTACGTAGTGGCGCTAAAAGGAAACGGGAAATGAAAAAATAGTAATATATCAATTCAATTCAATTCAAATTAGGTTTTATTCAACCTCGTCACTTGGTCGAAAGAACAAAAATGCGAGTTTACATCAAACATACAATTATATATTTTTTTTTAAACATTCAGGAGCATATATATATATATATAAAGAAAAATATAGCAAATGAGAAAAAATATATCAAAATGAATTTATGTTTACATCAAGACATCAAAACAGTATTTACACACAAAAAATCAAAATAAAAAATACATAATAAAAAAAAAAATAAAAAAAAAAAACAGTATATTGCTAGCATGTCAGATGTGATGTCAGATATGATTATCTACGTCTGGGGACCGACCTTTAACGTCACCATCCGAAAGTCGTTATATGGAATCTCATTTCCCATCTATATATCACTTACATAATTCTAAAAAGCGATATATCTCTTTGAGTACAGTCGTACATCGTTGCTGCCAATCCTCCAATCGCACGACTAGGATTTGGTCACGTGAGAATATTCTTAGCCAATCACGAAGGAAGACTGCGTAGTTGCCTAAAAGAAGACGCTGAAGAAAAGAATTTAAATATAATGTTTCAATGTAGGTAAAAAAAGAGGTACGACCGTGTAAAACATACACCATTATCGGATCTAAAATAATGGTTTTCAAACGACAAAATAAATTACAATTGCAACAAATTACACTAACAACAATGCCAAACTAAAACCCAATAAACAACTTTCGTAATGTGACCAAACTAAATGCATACGTCTTTGTGAATCAATAGTCTGAATACTATTACCTGTTGTTAGGTAGGGCAAGCCAAAATGCTTATCCTGCCTGGCAACAATTAATGTATGTATGCAGTTCGCAATATAACTATTAAAATACAATTATTTATAAGAGGTAAATGATATGATTCGTATTGAGGCACTTTACAAAAAAGGAATGCATTGGATTTGGTTACATTACGGTAATGGTCTATTGAAACCATAGCCACACTCTATATTCCAAAACATAGAGCCAGGTACTTTTACAATAATTATTAGAGGATAATTGATTTTATTTCCGCATTTTGTCCAAATAAAATATAACTGAATAACAAAGAACATATAAATGTAAGGTATAATACAACATAAATAAACAATAATTTCTTCATGTCAAAATGTTTTTTTTACATAATATATGTACATTTAATAACGAAACTTAATATTTCCATAACATATAATCATAAATTTAAAGTATTAATCGAACTATTCTGTTGGAAAAGTGCAGGAGACCGCAATCATAAGCAAAGCTTGACAAGGATGGCGGCCTCAAAAAACAAAAAACAAAAAAATCTTAAGGTAAACCTTAAAATTAAAAAAGTGTTTAATAATATGTCGGAGGGCCCTCTAAACAAGTGGTCACTCCCCCCCCCCCCCCCCCCCCTCCCCCTCACACATAATACGCTCACCTACACCTAATAGAACACAACGATAATAATGATTTCTTATACAGGGATTTAGTCAAGCTAACCACTAGTACAGACCGTATTATTGTTATCCTTGTTCGCTGGATTCTCTTACGGCTCAACATTTTAAAGTGAACTAATGCTATGGTCACATTACCCAAAAGTAGCCTGCTCGGTGGCCGAGCGGCGAGTTTTTAACCCAATTCTGCCCGGCGGCTGCCCGGCCAACGAGCGGCGGCCGTCCAGGCACCGCTCGTTTTTAGGGCATCGCTCGGTCGCCGCTGAAGTTTTAGCGCGGAGTTAAAATTTGGGCGGCGCCTGCTCACTTTTCACTCGCCGCCCAAAATACGCTCAGTGCCTGGGCGGTCGCCGCCCGGGCACCGACCTAATCGCTGGGCGATGCCTACATTCCAGCAGCGACCGAGCAGGCTACTGATCGGTCGGTCGCTGCTCTGATTTGTGACCATAGCTTAAGGTAGTTTGCAATGAAATTGAGCCCCTTTCCCGGCAAAAAAAATGCTGATGTTACTTTGCTAGCGAGAGAGCAAATCCCCCCCCCCCCTCCACACCTGTAGAGCTCCAACGGTACTTACAGAAGACTGTGTCCCGTGTCTGAATGTACAGGCACGTTTGGTCATGTTATGCATGCACTGGTGGTATGTCTTTATTCCTTCTTCTACTATCCTGTTGAAATGCAGCTTCGAAATAAAGTTGTCGCCCTCATTGCCGAAGAACAGATAGTCGGAATATACCCTGTGGGAGTGAAACGGCGGATGGTATCAAAAGAGAACGAGCAGGCTGATTAAAGGCGAAAGGAATGAAGATAGATGCAGGACAATGAAAGAAAAGTAGATAATCGATGAATGTTAGCGTGTATTAAGTCTGATTAATTAATTTTAATCATTAACATAAACCCGATCGCAAGTACTTAAAAGATGCGCCAAAAGGCATTTTCACTTTTAAGCTTTTTTGGTGGACAGTTGCTAAAATCGATTTTGATTTATCATTATTGATTTACCAATAGAAGCCATTGGACTATTGTGCATCAGCTTTTGAAATCCATGAACAATACAATGCCATACATGCTAAGTCCAATGTTTATCCCATACGTTACTGTGTTACTATTGTGCTATTGTATTTGTGGACATAAATAGTAAAAGGAAAATATCATGTTACCTTTAAACGTGTACCTGATTCAAAGTCTAGTACCAGTAAAGCGAATAACTTGACACCATCATCAGATATACTGGTATCTTAGATGTGGTCGTTAACGTATGGGGCAAAACAGCTTGGATGTTACCATATACATGTAACTCATCCTGGACATGATTTCTGTACAATAGGGCATTGGAATTGAAATTGAATAGGCTACATATTTGAAAGTCTCTGTAATCATTTTTATGATGCCTTAATTACATTTTGAACTGTTCTGAATATGAAATCGATGTTAACCCATCGAAGACGGGACTCGGGTGATTCTTGTATGAAGCCGTTAAAATGATTAAAATGATTAAAATGAGAAAATAAGTAATCGTCGGGTTCAGCTCCTCTACGTTCGACTTTGTTAATCATAAATGTAAATAGTAAAACAAGACAGTAGCAATTCTAATGGGCAGGGCTGGGGGCTCAAGCCCCTCCAAAGATTTTTTGGGGGATTGTAAGCTTCGCGCATACGGAAAATGAATGTAACAATCTCAACCCACACCCACCAATCCTCCCACTCGCCTGACACAAAATAGGAAAAGTATAGGCGCAAAGAAACCTTTTGTTTATTATGCGCTTTATAAGAATATACTTATTATCATAATGAATTATTATCATCATGATTATTACTATTTTTATTATTTCATTATTATGATCCTTATTGTTATTATTGTTATCAATATTTTTATTATTACTCTTATCATTATTATTATCATTATTATTATTATTATTATCATTATCATTATTGCAATGACGACCTTCGTCATTGCCTTGTTTTCGTTCACATTCTGCCCCATTAATATTTTCCTTTTCCTTGTTTTCCTTATCGTCCAGAAATCCCATTCGTTTTGCACGTAGTGTTTGTTATTCCTAGTTAGGTGCTTTCCTCATGTCCTTTATCTTTCAAATTTCATAGGCATAGTCTCTAACATCTCATCAAGGTCACTACATTCTTCGATTTTCGAAATCACTCATGCATAACCGTCCAGGCGCCATTTTGTCCGTTTCTGGTCCATTTTAAGGCCTTTCTTTCTTCCTTCCTCTCTCCACTATCCTAGATCCTACAAACTTCTAACAAATTCCTCTAGATAGTCTAAGAGATGTTCTTTCATCTGCGACGTATAACTTGACCTTCAAAATGCCATCTTCGTACTCAAAATTCAAATCTGAAACTGACTCCGTCAAAAATCTCTCAAATTCTTGAAAAATGGACCCCTAAAAATCTAAAACTGCCATAACTTTCTCATATAGATTCCGTTTTGTGTTTAAATCTAACATTATCCTTATCTCATTTTTGCACATAACCATGCCAAATTTCATGCTCCAATGACTATGCAAAACATAAATAGCGCCCTCTAAAGTTCTGGGAATTGGCTTTCTTTCTGTGGCCGTATCTCCATAATGGCTTGGCAAAACCGTACCCTTTTTTTGGATTTAGATACTTGAAGATATGCCCTTTCCAGCCATATACAAAATTATATACCCTAACACTGACCAAATTTGAGAAAAATGCCCTCCAAATTCGCCATTTTCGAGAAAATTCCAAAATAACTTCAACTTGCTCTAAAATGGCGATCTTTATACCTATTTCAATGAAACTTGGCAGATATATGTATCCATATACGTGACAACTGTCTGCCAAGTTTAGTAAATTGTAATGCCATCTTCGCCAAGTTATCGCCCAAAATGATGAATTTACCATGCTTTACGTAATAGCGCTTTTGATGCGTGCATTACGTTTTGCGCAGATAACAATGGTGTCAAACTGACCGCACTGAAGTGCCCTTTCGAATGATACCAAGTATGGTATATGTTCACGCAGAAAATTGTGAGTAAATCGCATTTGAACAAGGGTCACTATACGAATTCCGCCGAGTTTCCGCCCTATTATAACACGTTTCGGCCATGACGTCATTTTTTAAGACTGTTATTCGGTTGTGTTAGTATGGGCGGCCGTTCGTGCCAAAGCACGCGTCGCAACATGTTCATCATGCACCAAGTCCTATTGGTTTTGCACGCAGTGCTTGCGAGCCCTTTCTAGATCCCTTCCTCTACTCCAATTCCCTTCAAAATTCGTAGGCGTAGTCTCTAGCATTCTTTCAAGGTCACTAAATTCTTCGTTCTCCGGAAACCCTCATGCGTGACCGTCCAGGCACCATTTTTTCCGTTTCGGGCCGTTTTGGTGACCTTTCTTTCGCCCTAACTATCTCCACTATCACAGAAGCTACATACTTCTTACATATTGCTCTGGATATTCCGAGAGTAGCTCCTTCGTTTGACACGTAGAAACATGGCGTCATTGCACGCACATCGTTGTGACACGATTGCATTTCTAGTTATCATCATTATTATGTTCTCATAAATTGCCATTGTTATTTGTTATCACTATCTTGTTTTTTTATCATTCCATTCTGTATTTTTAATTTTTTTAATGTTTTTATGAATAGTGTTGAATACAATTTGAATTTAATTTAATTGAATCAAAGTTGAAACAATATTTGATCTCGTATCCAACTCTTAAGATATAGTTTGTACGGTGTTTCTTTCTATTGTTCTCAATATTTCTTTCCTGTATATCATTCATTTCCTCTTTATATTGTATTTCTTGGTACCACCAACCCACTACTACTCACCCCACGCATAGATTTGCATGTAATATCTATATATGTTTTTGTACATGTATGTGTTATTGTTTAATTAAACAAAAACTATTGTATTTTTATATTGTAATTTTAAGCAGGGGATGATCCCCGATAAACCTCTGTGGTTTTTGATCACCCCCTCTGCAGGTTCATCTTTTGTTGTAATACTTTTATATTTGATTGTAATTTACATTGTCTTTTATGAATCTGTGGAAATAAATGAAATGAAATGAAAAAATGAAATTATCATTATTATGATAATTGTAATTATTATAATCATTATCATTATTAAGAGTATGAATCAAATACCTTTCGGTAGGGTCACGGAATACTACAATGAACTTTGCTTTTGGTTGAACCTCTTTGATGACGTCAGCGATGACGTAGTCAGGTCCGTCTACCTGTTGGTCAGATACTTGTTGCCATTTGTTATCCCATAGGGTCGATGTGGAACCATCGCCTGAAAACAGAAGAAAAACAGCAACTGGTGTACCATCATCATAGCAATAATATCAAATATTTAGAAGAAAAAAACAAGGGCCATTGCGATTGAAAATAATTCAAAGTAAATTTATATAATAAGTAAATGATGTTACTAAGGGAAAGAGGTACTTTTTCAGAAGTCATTTGAATGTGGCAAAACAGTTTGTATAGATAGTATCGTTATTATTATCATTATTATTATTATCATTATTATTATTATTATTATCATTATTTGTATTGTTATTATCACTATTAAAAGAATTATAATAGGTATTTGTTATCATCATTATTCTCAGTGTTAACAACTTTAATATCAATGATATTATTAATATTACTTTTACATCATTATTGTTATTATATTTTTCACTATCAATATTATCGTTAGTAGTTATCACTATATATTGTTATCGTAATTATCATCATTAGTATTGTTGTTGTTGTTGTTGTTGTTGTTGTTGTTATACAAATTATTAGTATTATTGGTGTAAAGGTGGGTTGGCTTACCTACTACCAACCAGTCAGCAGTGTCAGGCATTGTCATCAGCCTGGGCACTATCTGATACGACATGACATCTAGATACCAGGAAAGTGATAAGGGCGTGGTCATATTGATGCCGTAATCTGCTGGGAGTTCCCCTATAGATGAGGATGAAAAGATAACATTAAATGAGATGAATGTGGTATTATGCCACAATAATCTTTCCTTTATCTCTCTCTCTCTCTCTCTCTCTCTCTCTCTCTATTTATCCATCTCTATCTCTTTCACGATCTCCCTCGACCCCTTCTCTCTTTCTCTCCCTCTCTCTCCCTCTTTCTCTCTTTCTCTCTCTCTCTCTCTCTTCCTCTCACGGTCTCTTTTTTCTCTAATATACTATTGCTTAATTCCGATCTCCTTCTCCCTCTCTCTCTCTCTATGTCTCTTTCTCCCCCCCCCCCCTCTCTCTCTCTCTCTAATGGCCGATTCATGTTTCTCTGATAAGATTGGGGGAGGATTAACAAATCCAAACAATTAATCGGTGACAAATAACAATCAAACTTTTAAAAATGAAACAGAAAGAAAGAAATAGACGTTACTTCTTTTCTTCTACCTCTCCCACACCCTTTTTTTTTAAAATGTATTTTGTTTGTGGGGCGTAGCTCCAGTGCCCCTTCTCCTCCACTTCACTGCCCTTTCTTCTTCTCTCTTGAATATTTTTTTTAAAACAGATATAATATGGCGCCATACAATTGCTGTGAATCATCATAATCACCATCTTCAACCATCCCGCTATAACTTACTCACTCGATACCTATAGCTCAAGTGCGGAACGCGGTGGGCGTCTATCTTCTCCCACAGATCCGTGGACCCACATTTTGTTCTTCCTCCCTCTCTCTCCCACTCTTTGTTTCTCTTTTCTACTTAATTACAATCTCTCCATCTCTCTCTTTCTTCTCTTCTACCATCCTACTAAAACTTACTCACTCGATACCTAGCCCACCAGTGGGCTCTTTGTTTTTCCGCTGGATCTCGTGATGAGCGTCTATCTTCTCCTACAGATCAGTGGCCAAACATTTCCCTTTTTCTTCCTCTCTCTCAATCACTCTGTCTGTCTGTCTCTTTCTTTCTTTTTCTCTCTATTTCTCTATTCTACTTATTTACAATCTCTCCTTCTCTCTCTTCTCACTTTTCCTTTGTTACTATCCTACTAAAACTTACTCACTCGATACCTAGCCCACCAGTGCGGCTCTTTCTCGATCCGTTGGATCTCGTGGTGAGCGTTTATCTTCTCCCACAGATCCGTGGACCCACATTTCTGCATCCCAATCAGGTAGAAGTACGGGAGGCACCGGAGTCCCGGCGGGCTGGTTCCCCGGTAAAAGAAGCAGGGGTTCTTGATGTTGGGGATGAAGGTTTCCGGTATCGCGTCGAACACCTGCATTACAATGAATGAACACAATTATGAATCCTTTTAGAACAGCATTTTTTAAGGTCAGCACTGATCTCAAAGTTCATCAAAATTAGCAACACTTTATTTTTTCTCCCAATGCTACCTATCATATTCATCCTTAAAGGGGGTTAAGCATTGGAAATACTAGTTAACGCCATCTACGACTTCTTTTGGCAACTGAATGGACTTGATTAATGGTCAGCGCACGCTAGCGTTCGCGAAACAGACCGAAGTTCTCCTCACGCTTCGGTTTCGCTTATGTTGCACGCACGTGAATATACTGCGGTCGCGTCGTCCGTAGTCGTATTTTGGCCCCGAGTCAGGCCACGAGTCAGGCCACGGGAAAGAAACAAAGCCTCGTCATGCCACACCACCTTAAATAACTTTTACAACACTTATTAACGGGTGAGCGTTTTGTCTAAAAGTTGTTAAACAGTTATTTTGAACCTTCCAACGTGTTGTCAATTTAAATATTTCAAGGCATACTTAATTTTTTTGCATCAAATGCAATATAGCCATGCAACACAAATGGATGCAGTATGTGCAGAAAGTTTTGCTATATCTATTCATGCATCTGGAATAATTTTAATAATTCTCTATTGAAAGTTGTTGAGCCAAACCTCAAAATGCGGAATGGCTATCTCAAAAAGGTAATAAAAGTGGTAAAGAGTGAGAAAAAGTTTTTCTATGTAGGAGAAAATCATTATTCAACAAGAATCATAGAAAGGGTTGCTCTCAAAATGCCCATTTCGTCTACCATTCATAAGGTCTAATAAGGTCTAATTATATGATTATGAGACCATGTGAATAATATAGTAGTATATATATGCAATCAGGTGTTAGATGTTAAGTGTTAGTTGTTAGGTTTTAGGTATAAGGTGTTAAGTGTTATAGGTTAAAATTCTTTATGACTTAATTGTTATTTCTTGCTGTTCCTCATTCGTACATATATTTGTATTTTATGTTTATCTTTCGTTATGTTATTTGTCTGGTCATTACTAATCAGGAAATATCAATGTTACAATTACATATGTTTTTATATGACGAATGAAATAAAATGAATTGAATTGAATTGAATAGACGAACTGGGAGTACACCATCAGGGTATATACTATAATTGGGTAGTAGACGAACTGGGAGTACACGATCAGGGTTTATACTATAATTGGGTAGTAGACGAACTGGGAGTACACCATCAGGTTATAGACTAATTGGGTAGTAGACGAACTCGTGGTAGACCAAACGGCAATTCACCAAGTATGTACTCTGAGCGGGGATTATCCGATGACGAGACACGAACGAAATCTAATTTGGTAAAGTTCTAAATGCCAATCGTCTTCTCTAATTCTCTAGACTCTGTAGTCATCGATGATGATCTGCCAAGTCTTTAACATGACCAATCAATTTCTTTCTCAAGTTTAGAAGTTTTCTATTTTACCCTTCCAACTGCATGTACTCTCTCTCTCCCTCCCTCCCTCTCTATCTATTTCTCTCTCTCTCTCTCTCTCTCTCTCTCTCTCTCTCTCTCTCTTCCTGTCACTTGCCTCTATACTCTTTGACGTACGCACACAGAAAATTCGATCTTACGTCTTCTCCCAAAAACGAAAGTCGGATGTTTATATCGTCGTTTTTAACCCCCAAATTTGGAAAGGTTCCATAAAGGTCTCAGCTCAAATTATTGCATACAAATGAGAATATGCGTGTAAGTATTCTAAAGTGGGATTAATTTAGCTGTTGCAGAGACACGTTCACATAAGTTTGTGGAAGAAAAACGATGCCAAACATCTTCGTTCATTCTCTAGACACGTTTAGTCATCGGTGTTGAGCTTCTACAAGTCAACGTCAATAACCCCCCCCCCCCCGCCTTCCCCACCCCCTCTCTCTCTCTCTCTCTCTCTCCCCTATCTCTCTCTCTCTCCCCTCTCTCTCTGTCTCCCTCTCTTTCTCTCTCCCTCTCTCTCTCTCGCTCTCTCTCTCGCTCTCTCTCTCTGTCTCCCTCTCTTTCTCTCTCCCTCTCTCTCTCTCTCTCTCTCTGTAAAGAGGGTACACACCCAAACAAAATTCGACTATAGTATCTAACGTTCTCCTTGATCTCGCTTCTCATTCTTTTAGCTGCGTTTCTCTCTTTTCTTGATCTGACGCATGGGTACTCACTCAGCGTTTGACTTCCCATCATATTTTTCTGCCCCATATACTCTCTCTCTCTCTCTCTCTCTCTCTCTCTCTTTCTTCATGTGGTGTGCGTGTGTGTGTGCGCGTGTGTGTGTGTGTGTGTGTGTGTGGATCCCTGTCAGATTCCAGTCTAATCCGCTGTCTTCATCTTCTTCTCTCACAAGTACTCATCCCAGTCTAGTCTGATATCTACATTTCGTTCGCTCTCTCTCTCTCTCTCCCTCTCTCTCTCTCTCTCACACACACACACACAAACTCACCCACACGAATAAATACACAACAGCTGAATTTTTCTTACTCGCTCTCTATTACCTCCCCCCTCCCCCCTCTTATATATTTTGTTTTCTGTCTCAGTGGTTTCACACTCTTAGCTCAATGTATTCCCACTCTCTTTAGTGTATTTTGTTCAAAAGTAGAGAGTTATTTCGGTCTCTTAGTTGGTATTTTATTCCCTGTCATCCCACACACACACCCTCCCTCAAAACCACACACGCACATATTTTATTTCCACCGTCTCTCTCTCTCTCTCTCTCTACCTCTCTCTCTCTTTCTCTCTGTCTCTCTCTGTCTCTCTGTCTCTCTGTCTCTCTGTCTCTCTCTTTTGTTTACACCTGCTTCAAACTCTCCATCTCTCTTTCATTTCTGTCTCACACTAACACGATCATCCTCACGTTCATTACCATGGACCTACTACGAATGCTCATACTCACACACGCACCCTATACCAAACACCCCCCCCCCCCCCTTGCCTTACCTTTCTATCACACACGCACACTAGTACCCACACCCACAAAACATCTCTTTTCTCCTCTCTCTTCACCATGTTCACATATCATATAGAGGTGTCGTGGTCTAGTGGTCTGCGGTTCGAGTCCCGCCGCAGCACTAATGTCCTTTGGCAAGACATTGATCTACATTTGCCACTCTCCATCCAGGTGTTAAATGGGTACCCAGTAGGATGCGAAAGCCAATGTAGTATGCTTAGCAATTTGAGCCTAGTAGCTCTTGCTGGACATTGTGTGCGGGCAAGCCAGAATCTAATGACCGGGGTAATAACATATCTGTAAAGCGCTTAGAAATTTGGACATTGCCGATGTATTAAGCGCTTTATAAGCAGAAATATTTTTATTCAAAGTCAATTAAAAGGTGAAGGTTATTTTCATCTTTCTCTCTCACTCTTTCAACATCATGTGAGCTCGGATTCAAGTCTAGGGCTCCCTCTCCCTCTCTCCATGTCTGCATCTTTTTCTCGGTCGTCCCCCCCCCCCCCCCTCTCTCTCTCTCTCTCCCCTTCTCCTATATATATATATATATATATATATATATATATCTCCCTTCCCCTCTCTCCGTCTTTCTCTCGCACCCCTCCCCTCCCCCCCCCCTCTCTCTCTCTCTCTCTCTCTCTCTACACGTGGTCTCGTTCAAGGGCACCAAGTAAATGGGGAAGTTAATCATAGTGCTTCCCTTCCCGACCAATCACCCTGTCACTCGACATCCGCCTCGGTCTCCGGTTCGTTTTACATATAGATCATTATCAACACTAAATAGTGCTTCATAATGCAGTCACGTTTAAAGGTATGGCTGAGCGGTGTAGTATTTAAAGCCCCACTGTACCTCTTCTCTTGCAGCTACTTGTTCCCTCTATATAGAAAACAACGCCTAAACGGTGACAATTGGTCCGCCATGATCCCCTTTTTCTTATGTTTATTGTGAGCTTATTTAATAAGATAACCACCCGCCGGTGACCATGGTGGAATGTCTAAACCCTCCTGGCCAAACTAGTACAGAGGGGCTTTAATGTAATACTTAAATGATGATAATGATGATAATGTTGATGTTGATGATGATGATGATGTTGTTGATGTTGATGATGATGATGTTGTGTGTGATGATGATGATGATGATGATGATGGTGATGTTGTTGATGTTGATGATGATGATGTTGTGTGTGATGATGATGATGATGATGTTGATGATGGTGATGTTGTTGATGTTGATGATGATGATGTTGTGTGTGATGTTGATGATGATAATGATGATGTTGATGATGATGGTGATGTTGTTGATGATGATGATGAGGATGATGATGATGATGTTGATGATGATGGTGATGGTGATGTTGATGATGATGATGATGATGATGATGACGTTGATGATGATGGTGATGTTGAGGATGATGTTGATGGTGTTGGTGATGTTGATGGTGATGATGATGATGATATGGAAGTTAAGAGTCGAGCTGGGACTCGAACCCTAAGCCAATGGATTGAGACTCAATTAAAAGAACCACTATACCACGAAACGTCCACATACATGTAGTTTCTGATCAACATAGTACGTTTTGTAACAGCAGTGAAGAGACTATTATGCAAAAAACAATTGTTACTGCCCATAATCAAATATAATATGGTAAAAACTTGAGCAATGGTTTTTCATTAAGACAAATATAAAGGCCAAACTCATAAACCAAAATAAATTGTTTGGCTTTTTGGATTTTATGGCTGCTTGGTTTTTTCCTCTTCTCAATTCATTCTTCATATAATGTTTAATTGTTGTAATAGTGAATCCCTGTAAAGGCATAGACCAGTTTTGGAAACATCCCCTCTCAAAAAATGAAGTGGAAGCTCTTATTACCAATCATGTGAAAGAATATGTTTTTACTAATACGTGATGATACAAATTCTGCCGGGAAACCGCCTACTAATTGATATATTTGGTAAATTATGATGTATATCCGGAATGGATAGATATAGCGTGGTCCCATATACATCATTCTGTGTACAGTGGTTGTAAATTTACCAAAACTGGGCAAAATTTCTTATCATTTTATCATAATCGCATGACAAGGGGCCCATTGCATAAAAATAACCAATAATGGAAACTTTGCCATCAATGGCAACTATCATGGTAACAGGGCTCAACAGCCAATCGAAATCAAGGTTTCCATGGTAGTTACCATCAATGGCAAAGTTACCATCAATGGTAAGTTTTGTGCGACGGGGCCCTGAACTGGTCTATAGAGTGGTGAAGTATGACGTCATCAAAAATCTATTTTTAGAATTTCTCAATTTTTTTTTCTTCATATTCCGAAATAACATCAAAAATAATGTCCAAATGTCGATAACCAATTGAATATGTTAAGTATTGGCTGAGATATGACCGTCTGAATGAATATATGTCCTATAGGAACTCAGTGTCATATTCTCTGGCTCCTAACCATTAGGAGCCAGAGCATATAACACTGAGTTCCTATGGGGAGTATATTTATTCAGATGGTCATATCTCAGCCAAGTAGGCTCCATTAGGAGCCAGAGCATATAACACTGAGTTCCTATGGGGAGTATATTTATTCAGATGGTCATATCTCAGCCAAAACTTAACATATTCTATTGGTTTTCGACATTTGGACATTATTTTTGATGTTCTTTCGGAAAATGAAGAAAAAATTGAGAAATTCTAAAAATAGATATTTATGACGTCACAGCTTCGGTACTCTATACCTTTAAAGACTACGCTTTGTAATTACCGATAGGTGTTGCGTCGTATATAACGTTAACCTTGGAGATTGCTCTCATAAAGTGCATTAGCATTTCGGTGATGCCTTTTGAAACAGACTCTAAATGCCTCAGTCACACACACCTTTGTGTATTTGGCTTGCGTATTGCTGCGTACTTATGGCAAGCCGTTTTCACATTTATTCCGATTTCTTGATATCAAGAAATGATATTCTGTTGTAAAGCAATGGTATTTCTTGTTATCAAGAAATGATGTCCTGTTGTAAAGCAATGGTAATTCTTGATATCAAGAAATGATTTCCTGTTGTAAAGCAATGGTAATTCTTGATATCAAGAAATTATTTTCTGTTGTAAAGCAATGGTAATTCTTGATATCAATAACTCGATTTCTCGATATCAGCAATTCATTTCTTGATATCAAGAAATAGGAATAAATGTTAAAACGGCTTGCCATAAATAAGCAGCAATTGGTGGTGGTTGTTATTTTACCTGACTGATAAGAAAGCATAAAATGCTTGTAAGTAAGCAACCAGACGGCTTTAGGTTCTCTCCGAGGGACCTGGTAATGAAGATTAATGCCTTACCAAAGGGCACTGGCGCATCGCCTTGGTTTCGAACCCGGGTCACCAGATTACGAGACCACTGCTCTACCGACTGAGCTATCGAGCCTCCTCAGGTCTGAGCCAATCACGCAAAGGTGTGACTGAGGCATTAATGGGTTTAGGATGCCTGGGTGAAGTCAGCCTATCAACACTCGCTCATTATTAATAGCTATTAACTCCGGGTTTATTAGTTATTCATGGATAGCGTGATTCATACTTGAACCGGAAGCAGATATGGAAGTCACCTCCGCTGTCCTATTACCGCACATTCCAATTTTTGACAGTTTTGTGCAAAACAAATATATTGTGTATATAACGCTATGTTTCAAAGTCGTAATGTAAAGCCTCTTTCAGAGTATGTTGCAATACAACTGTACATTGTTCTAAGAAATGACAAAAGAAAACCTGGGACCTTAAACATGAAAACGGACTTAAAATCGACATTAAAAAGAATGTCGACAATGAATAAAAGGGGAAAACTCTAGAACGATGACGAAGGAGAAGAATGAAAACGAAGGAAAGAAAGAGAGAAAAAAGCAGGGGTGGATGTGCTGGAGAAAATGAGATGGTATGGAAATGAAGGCCAACGAGATGAGGAAGAGAAAAGGTGAGGTATGTGGAGCTAGTGAGTCAGAGTGAGAGAAGGAGAAAGACAGAAAGAGAGAGAGAGAGACAGAAAGAGAGAGAGAGAGAGAGAGAGAGAGAGAAGGGGAGAGGGACAGGGGGCAGGGGGGCAGGGGTGACACAGCTGGTTAGAATAAAATACATAAAAGGTTATTGGTTTAAGGGGGATGGCTTAAAAATATCCCACAACCAATATCATTAGCAATCCTGATTAAAATATCTTTTCAGTTATAAATTAACTTACCTCTGGTGCAAGTTTAAATAGATTGGGTGGAAGTTTTCTCATGTTATATCCATCACCATAGTAACCTGAGTACGGCCTAGTCTGCTTCTCAGCTTTACTTGTTGTGGTGTATTGGTCTATGGAAAAGAAGAAAAAAATGTCCGAGTATAGCAAACATGCAAACTATATCACCCATAATATTCTCAACTATATCATCAATGCACATACGTCCTGATATGTCTTGTAATAAAATCAATTATCACTTACTTTTTTATATTCGGTTTTCCGTTTCGCATTCTTCACACCAGTATATGGTTTGCTTTAGTCAGGATCATTTTTGCCTCGCACTTCTCCCCTAACACTTTGATGATTTATTTCTGTCATTAAATTGTCGATAATTCATAAATAACTTCTTCTGTATTTTGTGGCTGTACTTTTGACGATAACCCAAAATAATTATTTGAGGATTATTTCTCAATAAATTTGAATTTGATTTTGAATTTGAATTTGAATTTAAACAGCCACTCCTTCTCCTTCCACCGCTCACTTGCTCTCTCTATCTCTTGCTTATATGTTCTCATAAACACCATAGTCCTCTCTCCCTTTTCTCTCTCTCTCTCTCTCCTTTCCCCTTTCTCTTTCTTTCTTTCTTTCTCTGCCCTTCCTCATCTTCATTTTCCCCATTATATATCCCCTTCTTTCTCTCTCTCTCTTTTGTACTCTCTCTCTCTCTCTCTTTATTTCCCTCTCTCTTACTCTTTCTCTTGCACACCCTCTCTCTCTCTCTCTCTCTTTCTCTCTCTCCCTCTCTCTTATTCGTATTCTCTTTCTCTCTCTCTCTCCCTCTCTCTCTCTCTTTCCCTCTCTCTCTCTCTCTCTCTCTCTCTCTTTCCCTCTCTCCCTCTCTTTCCCCCTCTCTACCTCTCTCATCCTACTCACCATAATTGAGATCAAACAGTTTACTCCTCTGTACACCAAGGTGTGGCATATTGGTGTCCACACCAGACCCCCTCATGTGAGTCCAGGAGTAGAAACACAATACAGAAGAGACCAAGAACAGACCTGCCAAAAAACTCCGCTTTAGCAAATGCTGAAAGATACAATGAATGAATGGATTTTAAAATCACAACGTTAATAATAATAAATAATAATAATAGGCATTTATATAGCGCCGTCTCTCTAGACAATTCTATTCCGAGGCGCATAAGAAAAATAGAAAGAAAAAGAGAGTTTGGATGAGTGTCATAGTGCCAATTTAGTAGAGGTATAATTAAAAAAAGACGATATTTCAGCTTGGATTTAATTCTCAAATTCAATGGTAAATTATTCCACAGAGCATTAATAATAACATTAATAATAACAATGAAAACAAAAATTATAATGATGATAGTTATATCAATAACAATAATGATAGTAATAATGATTTGTATGGGAATCATCATTTGTAAAAAGGTAATATTGTAATGTGGCCCAGCGAGAACAATTTCATAAAACAAGACTTGACCCAAAAAAAGAACTGTTTACAAAAAAAATATATACAGTGCGTCCCAGAAAAAAAACAAAACCGGGAGTTAGCGATGTTTTATTATAACTTAATCACAATTATAATTGATAAATGACACATATTTGTAAAGCTTAGATCCTCTTCTTTCATTTGATGCAACTCATATAATGCATATTTCACGCATGAGTCATTCAAATAAAATGGAAGAGAGGAAACCAAAAAGTCATTTGGCGGACGGTATCTAAATTTCAAAGAGAAAATCACATTTCTAGAAAGTTGAGTTTTTCCCCTTTCATATGACACCTCAGTCAGGAAAGATTAGCTGTAATAACAAAGTTCTGTTTGTTTAAAGTAGTGCTTGCATTTCCATAATGTTATTAAACTAATTTGTTTTCACTGGCTGCCTGCCGTAGCAGCAAACGGAATTAACAAAAGACTTAACTCCGTTTCGTTGAAAATCAGCCGTTTACGAAATACTTCATGCATGGCTGATTGTCAACGAAACGGAGTTAAGTTTTTTTGTCAATTCTGCTTGTTGCTACGGCAGGCAACCAGTGCAAAAAACGAATTCGTTTGATAAAATTATGGAAATGCAAGCACTAGTTTAAACAAACAAATCTTTGTCATTCCTTTCTCATTTTTCCTGATTGACGTGTCATATGAAAGGACAGAAACTCAACTTTCTAAAAATGTGATTTTCCCGTTGAAATTCAGATACCGTCCGCCAAATGACTTTTTGGTTTCCTCTCTTCAATTTTATTTTAATGCCTCATGCGTGAAATATGCATGTAGTTGCATCAAATGAAAGAAGAGGATCTAAGCTTTACAAATGTGTGTCATTTATCAATTATAATTGTGATTAAGTTATGATACAACATCGCGAACTCTCGGTTTCGTTTTTTCTGGGACGCACTGTATATAGCGACACTGTTATGATGTGTGTGCAGAATAAACAAAAAATAACAAAATCACAGAAGGGTTCATAAAAAGTAGGGCTTTAAAATTTAAACAAGAAAAACAAAATGGAACTTGGAAGCAGACACGCTATGTCAGCAAGGCTTTTCGCCCTTAATGAAAAAACAATCTTTTAAAATGAATCACTCTTTAAAAAATTAATTAAAAATTCATAACTGTGTATGAAGCTGTAGATGATAACTGTGACACAATCATAAATATTTGAAGTTTCCTGAAAATTTGTCACCGTTGGAAGTCGTATAATTCTGTCCTCTTATTAAATATTCATCTTCATCTATATGCCGTCCTCGAATGATTAATCATCGCTATTACGTTGTCAAGGTAACATCAACACATATTGCTGAAACACAAGTCAGATAACCTTTATGAATTTATCGAAATTCATTGCTGGCTATTTTTCTTTTGGTACAGATTCACAATTAGTGGTCGGCCTAAAATTTCTTGAGGTATGTGTGTGTGTGTGTGTGTGAGAGAGAGAGAGAGAGAGAGAGAGGGGTGGAAAGGGAGAGATAGACAGAAAGAAAGAGACATACAGGCAGAGACAGAGAGAGAGAGAGAGAGGGAGACAGACAGACAGAGAAAGAGATAGGCAGACAGACAATCAGATAGGGGGGAGAGAGAGAGAGAGAGAGAGAGAGAGAGAGAGAAGGAAATAGAAAGAGGCAGAGAGTTTCCTTGCACATCGATATATAAGGTTATTTGTCAAAGTTATGAAATCAGTAAGAGTTTCAGCTGTCAAACCAAGAAAAAAGATGAAATTACCTCAATCTTATCACGGACTTATTCTACTAATCCCTTTTATTTTCCATCTCTTTTTTTATAGTTTGTTCTCTTACTTTGATTTCCTTTTGTTCTATTATTTTTTGTATGTGTTGTAATTATCGTATTTGTCGTAATGGTCGTATAATGCGGTGTAATATCCCAGATATGTTGCTCGCGTCTTTCCGAAGGTTCATGATTCCGAAAGTTTGTTTTTCCGAAGGTTTATAATTTCCGAAGATAAACGGTAGGGCTCGTAATTCCGAAATGACATGACGGCATGTGTATCCTTCTTCGAAATTACGAACCTTCCGAATAACGAAGCCTATTTCAAGTTCGGAATCAGGGACCTTCAGAGAAGCAGTACATGCTTTGAATTATGAACCTGATTTCGTTTGCGGAATTATGATCCTTTGGAAGAACAAGTGCCCCCCCCCCCTTCTAGTCACATCAACGAGATCGACACTAGACCGGCAACATTACGAATATGGTCATTTCGAATGACCCTGCTGACCAAGAATAGGTCGGCTATGAATCGGGCTATACTCGGGTATACGTTCGAATCCTGCTCCATTTCCATTTCCATTTACACAGCAGGAGAGTGTTTCACAAAAACTAAGATCCACTTTAAGTTGGACTTAACTATGGCGAGCCTTTCATGCCACTATTTCTACTAACTATTCCTGGTATTGGTTTCTCAACAGACGTACAAATCGTAGTCACAAATCTACAGAGTTTACCTTTTTTGATAGTTTGTTATTGAAGGGAAAAATTTTATCTAAAGATCATGATCGAGAGACCAATGGCGAGAGCAACCAGTGGCATGAACATCCTGCCACAGTTAAGTCCAACTTAAAGTCGATCTTAGTCTTTGTGAAACACTCCCCAGGGTTCTTGCCATGGCATAGACCCTTATGGATTGAATGTGTGAGTCATTTTAACCGCAGGGTTTATCAAACAACATAACATCCCTCCCCTTGGCAACCAAGGCTTACGGAAATGTGATTGAACACAATATACCTCAGTCACATCAGCATGAGACCGTCAACAGACCGGCGATAATATTTCATTAAAACTCGATCACAACTTCTTTCGAAAAATAAACTTTAGGCAGTTTCAATGGGTCTGTCCATAACTTTAACCAATGGGCGAATATCCCCCCCCCCCCCCCCACTCATTGTTATTTAGGGTACGCGTATGCATGTTCCCTTCTTTTGAAAACACCCACTAAGTCCGGCGTGTAAAGTCAATACGGGCCGGATTTTTGTGTACTACAAGCCGGACGTTGGTGCGTGAAAAGTACCCCTTTACAGGACATTTTGGGAACACGCATGCGGTCCCTCCGACCCCGGAGTGGGGCCGGGGGCGGGGAATATTGCAATAGCTGGATTTGCGGAAAGTAGTTACGATCTTGTTAACGTTATTACCAGCTAGAGCAAGAATTCATACCAACGAGACCTACAACAGATCGAACAACAGGCCGAAGAAAAAATTACACTACCGGCTAGAGCAGGAATTGAGCGGTTTGATGCCTCAGTCACATCAACGTCACCGATAAAAAAAAGACGCCAACAGAACGAAGGAAACATTTATCATAGCCCTTCTTTTCTCTCTACATGAAGGCAATCTTAAGAAGAAAAAAAATATTGTGGAAAAGAAAAAAATAATTTGAAATTTGTATGCAACCTGGTCGAGGAAATAGTACAAACTTTATTTGCGATTTGTTTAAAATGTGAAATATAATTTCGTTTATGTGAATATTATGTTTCATCAGTAAATGTGTAACTTCATTTATCTGTAACCTTGTATGGAAACGAAAAAAGTTCACTTGCAAATTTATTTAGACCTATGTGAAGATTATTTTGTAAATTTTGTAATAACTTATGTACAATTTTCTTTATGAGAGAAGAGAATAAAAATCTATGAAAACGAAAGGCCAAGAAGTGGTCGGCGTGAAACCTCTTTCACACCAACGAGACCGACGACGGACCGAACAAAGAATTACTCTACCCTGAATGGCCAATAATCGTTTGGTTTGAAGTCTGTCTTGTATTGGTTTTGCGATGTGACTGAGGTATTACTGGAGTTGACGGAATGACTGATTTAGGAAGTCGTTGACTCCGAGATTAATCTGTTTATTATTATTGCCAACGTCATCCCATGACCTGTTGGTAATTTTATAAGCATTGGACTTATTTCCTTTCCAATGAGTCCGCTAATGAACCCAGCATGCATCGAAATGAATAGTTATGCGTTTATTTTTAATTACTAGCATTCTATATGAAAATACATGTGCGTCCCAGAAAAAAACGAAACCGAGAGTTATCGATGTTTTATCATAACTTAGTCACATTTATAATTAATAAATGACACATATTTGTTTATCATAACTTAATCACAATTATAATTGATAAATGACACATATTTGGAAAGCTTAGATCCTCCTCTATCTATATCCTCCTCGTATAATGCATTTTTTATGCCTGAGTGATTAAAATCAATTTGAAGAGAGGAAACCAAAAAAGTCGTTTGGCGGACGGTATCTGAATATCAAAGAGAAAATCACAATTTCACAAAGTTGAGTTTCTGCTCTTTCATATGACACCTCAATCAAGAAAAATGAGCAAGGAATGACTAAATTCTGTTTGCTTAAAGTAATGCTTGCATTTCCATAATTTTATCAAACGAATTCGTTTGTACTGGCTGCCTGCCGTAGCAACAAGCAGAATTTACAAAAGACTAACTCCGTTTCGTTGACAATCAGTCATGCATGAATTGTTTCGTCTACATTATATGAGTTGCAACAAATGAAAGAGGAGGATCTAAGTTTTCCAAATATGTGTCATTTATCA